TGTTCCCCCCCCCCTTTTCCCCCACCCATGGGCCCCCCCCCCCCAACCACACACACAGGAGGCTGCGGGAACAGGAGCACGTCTCACTTCCAGGTGGGACAGAGAGAAACAGGAAAGGCTCCCACAGGAAGCAGGGGGAGGAGGAAGCTTCAAGGCTTCCAAGGGACATCTTGGACTGGGGTGGACATACCTCTCCCTGGGCCAGAACTCCCAGGTCAAAACCCTTCAGGGGTAAGACCCCCAGGGCCTAGCCTCTCAGGGCCAAATGCCCACAGGACTGAGCCCCAAGAGACAAGGGACATGAGCTGCCCAGTGACCTAGGCCAAAGTAGGCAGGGCAGGCTTGTCCCTGCCTTTCTGCCCCTGGCTCCTGCTGGGATGGTCCCATCCCTACCCCAGACCCTCAGTGACCTGGGGACAAGGTGAAGGGATAGGTTGTACATGAAGCATATAGCCCCTAGTCCCTAGCCTGGTGGGGGCGTCCAGGGCTATATAGCATTGCCTGCTCCCCAGCCTGTCCCTCCTACCAACAACCAAGCATCTGCAGCCTGCTCAAATTTTATTGAAGGTGGGGTGGCACAAACCCCCTCCCCCAGCTTCCCCAGGGTGGGGCTCCAGGCACAGGAGGTGGGGTGAGCTGAGGCTCCCTCCTGGGCTGCTGGTATGGCTCAGTAGCTCCCAACCCTGCAAGAATTCAAAGCAGTGCCTTAGCTGCCACCCTGCCCAGGGACTGGGGCTAGATGTGGACCACTGTGGACCAGCCCAGGGTTTACAAGGAAGGGGGCCACTGGGGCGGGGTGTGGACCACTGTCGACCAGCCCGGGGTTTGCAAGGAAGGGGGCCACTGGGGAGGGGTGTGGACCACTGTCGACCAGCCTGGGATGTGCAAGGAAGGGGGCCACCCAACCAAAGGCCCCCTTCCCAGGCTGAACAGCAAGGCCCCCACAGGGCAGGGCAGGGCAGTGTGGGCAGGGCGGGAACTTTACCCCCAGCTCAGGCCCCGCTTGGCCAGCTCCACCTGGGCCAGACGGTGGTCGCTCAGCACGCGCACCCTGGTGATGGCAGCCAGTGGCCTCTGGCGGTGTGGGAACTGCAGCACCTTATGCTCCTGGGCGTAGACGTGGAAGTGCTCCGCGTCCGAGCTGACCTCCAGCTGGGCAGACGGCAGCCAGTGACCCTCGGCCCCAGCCATGGAGCCAGGTCTGGCCCTGCAGCCTACTTGCATGAGCTGCCGACTCCAGGAAGCACACCGGGCAGGCCCCAAGGGTCTCTTGACACCTCCTCCCCTCCCTACCCCACCCCGATGCTGTACACCCTGGACTCCCCATGTGGGAGCTCCCTCCTTTCTCCCAGAAGGGGGCAGAGCAGGCCAGGGAGGTGGGCACGCCGCTACACAAATGGGGAGGCTGAGGAAGGGAAAGGCCCACCGGGCCGAGCAGCAAGCCTCCTACATGGCCTGGTGACCACAGCAGGCTCTCTTCCCACTGGCCTCCTGTTCCCCCTCAGGTCCGCAGCCACTCCATCTCCATGGGGCTCTGACCTGCCACGGACCTCACCTAGGCCCCCCTTTACCTCAAAGGGCTCCCCCAGGGTCAGCGGGAAGACACTGGACACCTCCTCCTGGCCCCAGCGCCCATCCTGGAAGGCGTTGCCCACCATGGTGGCACTGGAGAATCGGGGCTTGATGTGGAAGGCAATGTCTCCCCCCTCGGACAAGAAGTTGATCTCAAACCTGGGTGGGGAGCAGCATTGTGTAAGTCCCGAGAGGAGCAAATGGCTGGGTCAGTCACCCCGCCCAAAGCCCAAGGTGCAGGCAATGTCCCTTACTTGTCCTCTCCAGAGTCCGACTGTCCCTGGACCAGCAGGCTCCAACCGGGGGCCAGGCCGCCGGCACAGAAAGCTTCAAACTGAATGCAAAAGACCGTGGGCGACAGGTCTCATGGGCTGGAGCCCCACCCCTCTGTGTTTCCCACTTGGCCAGAAGGGTCTCCCAGCCAGCCTGTGCCACACCCCCAGCGAGTGAAGGGGACCAGCCCGCCCAGCAGGGCGACTCTGGGGACACCTTTGCCCTCAGCCCAGGGTCTAATGAGAGGGCCGACTAGCACTTCTGTCTCTGCGGAGCGTGGTTGGAATGGGGAACGGCCCTGCTCTTGCAGCTCCCTCTATATGAGTCCAGGTGTGCAGCCGGCTTGGGTCCTGGCCTCACTCACCTGCAGTGCCATCTGCTTCCAGCCACTGCTGGAGGTACAGGGAGGCTGGGCCTATATACGCAGGGTGGGCTGGGGCAGGCCGTGCGGAGCTCCACCCCCGGGGGTGGCTTGACTAGGTCACTATACCCTTCCCTGCCCATCGCTCCCGGCCGGCATGTCCACCATTCAAGTTGAAGGGACAGGGGCCTTCTGTCCCTAGCGCTCCTGGCCCACTTCCTCCAGGCCAGTCAGGACCCTTTGGACCTGTAGGAAAACAGCTACTTGGGCAACCTCACAGTAAGGGCGTGGCCGAGGCAGGGCCCTGGGCTCAAGGACTCTCCTGACTGGCCAAGGGAGGGCTGCAGGAGGCATGCTACTAACCCTGTCCTGACCTGGGGGCCTGTCTGCTCTACCACCATCCATGCCACAGCCAGTCTCCCTGAACCCCAGCTCACCCCAGACTCCCACCCCAGCCCTGCCCTCACCCCACTC